TCGACATAATATTTTTAGAAGAAGAGTTTGGCAGTCCTACTGGGGGTTGGCCGACACCGAGGCTGAGGAGGAAGCTCCTGAAGAAGAAGTGGGGGATGGGGCAAATGTAAATATAGATTCTTATGTTTTCTTTTTCTTTCTTCTTCATTGTAACGGATTCAGCCCTGATAAATTTTGTAATGAAACCATTCTATTAACTATCGTGTTATTTCCTTTTGCATGTTTGAACTTCGCTTAGATTGGACAAATTAAACAATATTAAAGTGTACGCACGAAATGGAAACTAATTCATTCCATTGACAAAAATATTTACATGACCGAGGTTAGCCTTCACAACTTCTCTATTGATAATACTTCATCAGATGTTCAATATTCCAAGGATGAGGCATCATTTTTTTCTTTCCAAGTCTTCAATCTTATATGTGCCAAGTCGTACTTCTTCCGTAACACGGTACAGGCCTTCCCAGTTCGGCCCCAATGTTCCTGTTCCTAGTTCCTTTGAGGATGGAAAAACTTTTCGGAGTACCAAATTGCCAATGCGAAAGACCATTTTCTTTTCCTTGGCATTGTAGTAATGCATCATTTTATGCTAGTAAGAGACGAGTTCAACTTGAGAGTCATCCCACTTTTCCTAAAGGAGTTCAAGCTCGAACCTTCTTAGTTCATCATTAGTCACCTTATTGGAGTGGATGTGATGAGGTGAAGGTATTCCAACCTCTATCGGGCTCATGGCCTCAGCCCCATAAGTTATGGAGAATGGAATCTCCCCGATTGCAGTCCTGCTGGTTGTCCGTATGGCCCAAAGGACTTGGGGAAGCTCATCAACCCACATCCCTTTTGAAGCGTCCAGTTTTCTCTTCGGTGTGAGTTTGATGGTTTTGTTAACCGTTTCAACCTGTCAGTTTGCCTGGGATGATGAGGTGTTGAGAAATACTTTTTAATTTTGAGCACATTGCACAAATCTTTGATCTTCTTGTTATCGAACTGTTTTTCATTATCCGAAACAATAGAATGGGGATGCCAAACTTGCATATAATATTCTTCCTAAGGAATTTTGAAGTGTTCACTTCGGTAATCTTAGGCAAAGGTTCCATTTAGACCCATTTCGTGAAATAGTCAACTGCTACGATGGCAAAGCATGCATTTTCCCTCCTTCTGGGCAATGTGTTCACCTGTGGTCAAATCTTATACTTTGATCACAACAAACAAACTATGTTTATCTCTAATTCTAATTTTCAAAATGTTACATGTTGCCAAATGCAAGACAAAATAATTGGACGAAATGTTGTTGATCAAGGAAGCCCAAGATAGAAAGCTCAAGATAAAGATCGATCAAGCACTCATGAAGAAAAACTTTGCGCCATTTCGAAATCAAGTAACAAATCGAGTACATGCGCCAAATTAATGGAAGACATTGGAACTAGATGTTCTTGAGCTCATTTGTAAAGGAAAAACACTTTAACTCTTGGCAATGACACGTTGAAAACTCAAGTGATGAAATTCTTATGCACAGTAAAAATTCACGTCATTAAAAAACGTTTGCACAAAAATTATTTCTCAAATGTAAGATTTTCAACCTAATCTTGAATACTATAAAACATCACTTAAAATATGTAATAAAAATGTCATGCAAAATATTTAATGACTGCAAACAAAAACAAAATGTTGACCCAGAAAAATCTGGTCATCCGGACATCGGTTCGCCAGCAACGGTCGAATTTTCGACGTTCTGACAAGTTTCAAACGTCTATTTTTTTAGGGTCATCCGGTTCTGAACCGAACGTCCAAATGGGTCATTCGATTTGGCAGAAAAGTTGAATTTTTCAACTGTTATAAATACCAACTTACCTACCATCTATAAAGTGAATTTTTGAGTATTCAATTGATATTCCTTTGAAAAAACATTGTATTAATTTCTCATATCACTCATTATCAAATCATTTTGCAATTGAAAAGTCTTTGATTAAATTAATTCTTGAAAATTATTACATACATCAAAGACTTCCACACCTAACACTTGAGCTTCATTCATTGCTATCTATTAAAAAGTTAGCACACTTATCTTCTTGTACTCAATTTTGGAATGATCATTTATTAACAAGAGAATATTTTATTTGTAAACTTACTTGAATTGTGGGTCATATTGAGGTCTCGAAAAGCTCAATGTTGTAAAATGATCGGTGCTCCTTGCTTGTATATCACCGGAAGCATTGTAAAGGGTTGGATTGCACCACACGTCAATCAACTTAGTGAAATTAGCCTTACTCGTACCGGAGAGCTTGGTAACGAAGGACGTAGATCATTACATTGGATCAAATCTCCATAATTATATCGTTTACACTCTCTATCCCTCTTCACTTATTGCTTTCATATTTGTGTTTGTTATTTGAATCAATCTATCTAGTAATTACGTGTTTGATTTTAAGTTAATTTTTCGAAAAAGTTTTAAAAACCAATTCACCCCCCTCTTGGTTAGCTAAACTTACGCTATCAATTGGTATCAGAGCAAGGTACTCATTTTCAAAGATTTCACAATCTTGAGTAATAGCTAACCCAATATTTCAAGATCATCGAGGGATACTTTACAAATCGACCTCCCTTCTTCGATGTCACACACTATAATTATTGGAAGGCTAGAATGATGATTTATATTCAGTCTACTGATTACAATATTTGGGAAGTAGTTGAGTATGGTCCTTATAAACTAAGTAGTTGAGTATGTTCCTTATAAACCTACCAAGACCATTAAGATATATGTTCAACCCTATCAAACTATCACCAAACCTGGAGAAGAGTATGATGAAGATGACAAAAGCAAATTATCCTTAAATGCCAAATCTAAGAATTTACTCTATTGTGCATTAGATAAAAATGAATTTAATGGCATTAGCACTTGTGAATCCGCATTTGATATTTGGCATGAATTAGAAGTTGCTCATGTCGGCACTAGTAAAGTCAAAGAAACAAAAATCAATATGTTAGTCAAGAAATTTGAAAATTTCTTTATGAAACAAGATAAATCTATTGTTGATATGATTACTCATTTTACCGATATTGTAAATGGCCTAAAATGATTCGATAGAAAATTTACTAACGGTGAACTTGTGAGTAAAATGTTTAGGTCGTTCTCGGAAGAATGGAGCCCCTTAAGGATGTTGATAGAAAACACCAAGGATATGAACAAATATCTTTTGGAAGAACTCTATGGAACCATGATAACCTACGTGTTTAACAATACCGAAATCAATGGAAATCAATGAGAAGACAAGAAAGAGCAAAGAAAAATCAAAGGAAGTTCTTAAACGCCAAATTGCCTTAAAATCGGCAATTGATGAAGGAACAACAAGAAACAATATGAGTGATGAAGAGCTCGATGATTTAGTTATTCTTGTCAAGAAATTGAGAGGGTTTCGAAACAATCGAAAGTTTCAAAAAAAAAATAAAATAAGACAACCATGAAGAAAAAAATTAGAAAATCATTTGCTATGATTGTGACAAATCCGGTCACAAAATAATCGAGTGTCCAGATAAAAAGAAAAATTTCAAGTAAAAGGCATTCCAAGCAACATGGGATGAAAGCGACTATAATGATCACGATGAAGATGAAAGTCAAGAAGAGATCGCCAACATATGTTTCATGACAATCAATGATGAGGTAAAATCTATTGAACATTTTTCATTTGACGATTTATCTTCCTCCTATGATGAAATTTTAGAACAATTTGAAAATTTAGCTCTTAGTCATTATATTCTTAAAAAGAAACTTAAATTACTAAAACGTGAGATGATGACTAAAAAGGAAAATGAAGAGTATGATTTACTACTCAAAGAAAATTGTTATTTGAAGGAAAAAGTCGAAAATCTAACAAAAATCATTTATAAATTAGTAAAAAGGAAAATAAAAAGTATGATTTATTACTCAAAGAAAATTGTTTGAAGGAAAAAGTCAAAGATCTAACAAAAATAATTTATAAATTCACTCAAGGGAAAAAGAATTTCGACTTAATGCTCGGTAATCAAAAAAGTGTTTTTGATAAAAGGAGACATCAGATATAAACCATTTTAAAAACAAAAATCTCTTAAGAATCTATTTATCAAAGCATCAAATTCAATTTCCTCAAAAATTGCTTGTAGCTTTTGTAATAAAAATTGACATATGACCTACAATTGTCTAATAAAAAAGAAGCTATACTTTGAAAACAAGTGGACTCAAGAATCCACTAAAACTAACTACCAAGGACCCAAACTCATATGGGTACCAAAGATAAAAAATTGAATTATTTTTGTATTGAGTCCATATTCAAGGTGGACCAATAATATCCCTGTTTGAGTACCTTATGTACTAGTGCTGGCCCTGTAGAATGGTTGCCACAAACTCTCTCATGGATTTACCTTAGGATATAGTTTGCCTCTTTGCCCGCTGTGCACCTGAGGATGGGGTGGATGAAAAACCTCACTTGTATAACACATCATCCTACAGGATAAAGTGGGCAGCCCTTCTCCGAAGTCGACGAGCTTTGGCTTCATTGCTTGGTACGATCTGTTCTTTGAGAAAAACAATAATAGGTTGCATCCACAATGGGGTGCATTCAATCCACATCACTACTTCCTCCCTTGTAATTGAGGGTCTGGCAAAATGTTCTGTGAGAACCACCTTAAGGAGTTTGGAATCCTTATTGCTATCCAACTTTGATAGAGCGTCTACGTGGGAGTTCTCAAAGAAGGGCACTTGTGTCAATTCAAATTTTTCAAAGTTGGGGAGAAAATTCATGACTAGTTTCAAGTATGTCGCCAAGTGCTTGTCTCTGGCACAAAACTTCCATTGACTTGGTTTACCACTAGTTGTGAATCGCTATTGATGGTCAACCTATTTACTTGCAATTCCTTAGCTAAATAAGGCCGACTAGGAGCTCTTCATATTCAGCTACATTATTGGTTGCTTTGAATCCAAGTCTCACTGCATAGTTAAGCTTATGGCCCTTAGGGCTCTCCAAGACTACTCATGCTCCTGAGCCAGCTTCTCCAGATGATCCATCGACAAAGAGGTTCCAGGTGGGAGGCTTCACAGATTCCATACTCATTTCTATTTCGGGAACCTGAGCAAATTCAGCCACAAGGTCAGCTATGGCTGACCCTTAATCGTAACCCTTGGCTTATACATTTTATCAAACTCACTAAGTTCAGCTGTCTATTTCAATAGCCTTCCCGAAGCATCTGGCTTCTGAAGGACTTGCTTTAGTGGGAAGTTTGCCAGTACCTAATGCCGTGGGCCTGAAAATATGGCCTCAACTTTCGAGATGTGGTGATAAAAGAAAAGGCAAGCTTCTCCATGTTTAGATAACGCACCTCTGTTGATGACAAGACTTTTCTTATGTAGTAAATGGGCAATTGACGCATCTTTTCTTCCCTTATAAGAATTGAACTAATGGCTTCATGGGACACAACTAGGTAAAACAACAAAGATTCGTCTTCTTTGGGTTTGGATAGGAAGGGAGCTTGTCCAAGGTAACTTGTCAGTACCTAGAATCCCCCCTCACACTCTGGTGTCCATTGTAACCTCTTCTATCCTTTGAGAATCTTAAAGAAGGGAAGACACTTCTCTGTAGTTTTGGATATGAAGTGGTTGAGTGTGGCCACTCTGCCAGTAAGTCATTGTACCTCCTTAGGCTTCTGAGGTGACCACATTTCAATCAACGCCTTAATCATCCCTGGATTCGCTTCAATCCCTCTTTGATTCACAATGTACCCAAGGAACTTACCGGATGCTGCAACAAATTCACACTTAAGAGGATTTAGCCTTATTCTATATCTCTTTAGAATCTAGAAGGCCTCATCTAAGTACTTCACATGGTCCCTCGCTTGGAGGACTTTCACAAGCATATCATCAGCGTAGACTTCCATTATTTTGCCAAGCCGATCAGCAAACATCTTATTTATTAGCCTCTAATAGGTGTCTCCAGCATTTTTAGCCCAAAGGCCATCACTTTATAACAATATAGCCCCTTATCCGCGAAGAAAGAAGTGTTGTCCTCGTCTTTTAGGTATATGGGGATTTGATTATAACCCGAATAAGTGTCCATAAAACATTATAGCTTGTATCTAATGGTCGAGTCTACTAATTGGTCTATTCAAGGAAGTAGAAAACTGTTCTTTGGGCAGGCCCGATTGAGGTTGAAGAAGTCAATGCACACTCTCCACTTGCCATTGTATTTCTTCACCATCACGGGATTGGAATACATTTCGGATAGGTGGCTTTCCCGATGAAGCCATTGCTAATCAGTTTCTCCACTTCTTCTTTCAAAGTGTCATACCTATTCGTATTTAGTGCTATCATCTTCTGCCTATGCGGGGTTTAGCTTAGATCAATTTGTAAATGGTGGCAACTAATCCTTGGGTCTATTTTGATCATGTCCTCATGTTTCTATGCAAAAACGTCTGAGTTCTTGCGAATGAAGTCTTCAGTTCTTCATTTGGTTTATCACCCAAATTCTTTCCCACTTGAAAGATCGTAGAGGCGTCTTGGATATCTAATGGAAAGCTTTCCAATTCTTCCGTTGGAGCAGTTTGCGATTCAAATTCAATAATTCGAGGATCCAGTTCGTCCATAGCTTCCTTTTCAGGTCAGTCCTTCACAAAAGTTTTTGCCATCTCGACATCTTCCCCTTGTGCATGGATTTGCCATTATTTAGGGACGTTGGTCATTTCAGCATTGGTGAGCATGTTAACTCCACGGGGTTTAGCCTTCCTCAAGGAGTTGAGATAACACTCCCTTGAGCCCATCCGGTCATCTCGGACGGTGGCTATTCCTCATTCAGCGAGGAATTTCATGCATAAGTGATTAATGGATGATGCATACTGAAGGTCAACCACTAGGAATTCCATGAATTGGTGTGCTATTAAAGGTGGGGTCCCCATTTCAACAACCAGGGTAATCATTCCTCTTGGGATGATGCTATCTCCAGTGAATCCATACATGTGAGAAGTCATACAAGAGAGTTCATGGTCCACCGCCATCGTATTATAAGCAAAATCGAACATAATGCTCTACTAACCTCACTCTTTGGGACTGATTTACTATATAGTTGACCATGGGCGAGTCATTAGCCTCCCTGGTGTAATCCCTTTTTGCATTTCTATACTTACCTTCTACGTGTGGTCCCCTAATGATCGTGTCAATTTCTCGGATGGTTTGGTTTTCATTTGCGGTAGCAGGATCTCTCATGGGTCTCTGTCTACTCTTAGGCTTATCTCAGTCTTCATTAGCACCATGCCGAGGTGAGTGTCATCTTGTCTCACCACTCCTAGGTGAGTTCGGCCTTGTAAGACGTCCTAAGAGTGGCCTTTCCTGCTTCAGAGATTGTTCATTTAGTGGCGAGGAAAGCTCAACATTCACTCGTGTCGTAGCCATAGAAACGATGGGAAGTACAGTAGGGTCGCGCCTCTTCGGGGGCCTACTTCTAGGCCCTCCCCCTATTTCTAGGATTAGAGGGTCTCCTAGGCGCCCGAGTCCCAACGTTGTTTTGGGCCCAACATTTTCATAGGCCAATGTAGGTACAGTGTTTAAAGTCGTTGTGGCCAATGCCTGACTCGAGGTGGGGACGATGGTATGCCTAGCTTGAGCCCCTGTGTCGCCCTGTTGCGATGATCAATCATCTCTTCATTGAGAATCCCAGTTTTTATCATCTCTATCGGCTCGTCATATGTGGTAGGGTTTTTACTTCGAATATTTCTCCAAAACAGCGTGTTCATGTTCAGTCCTCATTTTAAGGTTGAGAGGGCTTCTTTGTCTTTGACTTGTTCGTAGTATGTTATTTCATCAGTAAAACAGGTAAGGTAGCTTTTCAGCAGCTCCCATGCTACTTGCCTCATATCTTGGAGGTCCTGGATTGGCGTTTCTCCTTTTTTCCTAGATAAATATTAGTTTAAATCTGCTTTTTTAAGGTCGGCCAGCTCCTGATGCTGAGTGGCATTAACCTACAATACCACACTTCGGCTGCACCGCTAAGTGTTAAGTGAAAGGCTTATACTTCAGAATTGGTGAAGCACCTCGAATGCTTATTTATGTTTTGTACTTATTGAGGTGTTCTCTGGGCCACCTTTTCCCTCATACTTAGGAATTTGGGAAGGGGAGGAGGGGAGGGGGAAGGACAAAGTTTTGAGGCATAGGAAAGTTATGAAGCTCCTTAGAGAAGGGAATGTTGTCGTCGTCATCATCATCAAGCTTATAGGACCGACATGGTCCATTTGAATCATTCTCATCCGCTAAGTAACGAGGTGGGTGTTGGATGCCCCACCTCGTTTCCCCCAATCCACCAGGCTTCACTTTTCTTTCCTATTTCTAGGTGGAGGAGCCTAAGCGGCTTGGCTTTGTACCAGTTCTTGTGGACGAACTGGCTGGTGAGTGGATTGATCCCTACTCTAAGTATTTGTCCGATTCGATCAAACACGCTCGCAGACCTTTGAGACAGTTCTTCATAATTTAGGAGGAAATTATCTCCTCCCACTTAGGTGTCAGCAGCTGGGGGGACAGTATAGTTGGAAGTTTCTACTCTTCCTTCCCTTTCCATCGGAGCCTCTCTTTGTCGGCTCGAATGGGTCCTCTGACTCAGCTCCGCTTCAGCTTGTTGGTCGCGAGCTGATTGTGGTGGATTTTGGTGGGCGTGGAAGCCTCCTTGATTCTGTACCTACATGAGGAGTTCTTACATGGCTGCGTTTTGGACTACAATATCTCTCACGTTAGTAGTCTGCGAGCCACTTCGACAGTCAGTCGTGCAGTAGTTCTTTCGCCCCTGCGATATTGATGATGGGGCCTCTGGTGTGTGATATTATTCTGGACAATCTCTTCTTCATAGATATCCCTTACTCTCCTTGGGTTCACTTATTCATTTCTGGAACTCATTGGTTCAGAGTTTGCAGATTCTCTTCTCCCGAATAAATGAAACTTAGCTTATGGCTTCCAATTGTTCTTTTTCAAGAACAAATCCTCTTTTTCAAATGGGGGATATTAACCAAATATTTCAATAAGCTTTTTCTTTTGTGGGGATACTCGTGGTTACAGTAGCATTTTCCATAGAATGCGTCAATCTGTTGACCCCGAAAAATGGTCACGACACGTGGCCAACAGAATAATACTCCACGTAAGTTCCTTCCTTCACATGGTAACACCATTAGTCACTTGTGGCCTTTTCCGGTAGAGGTGAAAGCGACTGCGAGCACTCCGACGGTCAAATTAGTGATTTCGTAACCTGAACGTAAAAACACACTTATTCGGCACTTTTTTGGAATTAATTGAAAATGAAATTGAGTATATTTCTATGCATAATTGTGTAATTTTCACTTTTATAGGCTAAAACCCCGTCAAGAAGAAGAACGGAGTGAAAAATGACCTAAATTGAACAAAAATGTGAAGATGGGGACTAAATTGCACAATCCATAAAGTTGAAGGACTTGAAGTGAAATTTATCGATGGCATAAATGAAACGAAAGTCAAAATTCAAGGACCAAAATGTACAAGATCAAAGTTGAGGGACCATTTTGCTCACTTTCCAAAAGTTTGGAGACTTTGATTGCAATTTTTCCTAGGATATTTTAGTTAACTTAATGGCTAAGTAAACAAAATATCTTCCATATATAAAGGCTGGGACCTTTTTTTTGGGCCAAGAATTAGACAACTTAACTTAGCTTTAAAAAAATAGAATTCTCTACCATTTTTCTCTGTAGTTTTTCCCTTTCTCTCTTCTAGTTTTCTTTTAGTTTGTTAGTTTTGTTGTAATCTTGGCTCATTTTGGGGATCACAAGTAGATAGCAAGGAGATTATTACTCAAAGAAGCTTGGAGAAAACATTGGAGGGATTCAAAGCTAAACAAAAGGGTTGTATCTTCAA